AAAGTGCCCATTTTTATTTTGCTGTCTCTACAGTCCTATACTGAAATATTTATACACACAGCACATATATTTGGAATAAATTAAAACAATATGGAAGGGGAGAAAATAAAAAACTAGACAATCTAAATTTCAAAAACTTGAACCTATTATTAAATTCAATTATGTGGCCAAGTCATTTTATTTATTTATGTTCATTTATGGTAAGGGTACGTTAAAATAATAAAAATATTTATAGTGGCTTTAAAGAACCCATTTAAATAGAACTATTTCCAAATCATGGAAACTTTCACACTGTTCCTTTTCCCCCTCTTCCTTTATCTCTTTCTCTCTCTCTCTCTCTCTAATGATACATTATGTCAATCACAAACCACACTCACAAGTAGAAAATGGAGATTGAAAAAAAATCTAAAATTTTTTTTTAGTATTTTCTTACTATAAGCTGTGAAGTTTCTTGTGCATCCCTTGGGGTAGAATAATTCCACTTAGGGATGGCTGTCTATACAGTATCTTTCTCAAAATGGACTTTTGAGGTGCTACAGGTTAAAAGAAACAAATGAGAAAATTGAAGTAAAGGAAAAATACAAGTAAGATTCAAAATAAAAGTCAGAAGTAAAAGCAATTCACATATGTGCTTGTGATCAAGTCAGCTTTAGTAATAGTAATTTAAGGCCGAGCTCATGACTTATTTTTACTCACTGTTGGAAATTCACCCCATCACTGACTAGAAAGTGAAGGGAATTTCGATGTGTATTTTCACCAGACAACTAGGCAAAATTTTAGAAGAATAAGAGCACCCAGTGTTGGTGAAGAAGAGAGAAAATGTTGTTAGTGGGATTGTACATATCTGAAATGCATTTCATGATGCCCAAATTTTAAATGTTCTTAGCCTTTATCTCAGAAATTCTACTTTTGAGGCCAGTAGGTGGCATGGTGGTTACAGCGCTGGACTCCCACATGACCAACCATGGTTCTAGTCGCAAAACTGTTAACTTGAAACACACTGGGCACGTGTGCATGTGTTCCCAAAATCCTGAGAGGAGAATGGAGGAGAAGGGACTGCGATGTGGCCATTTTCCGTGAGAAGGGTGGTGATTGCTCACTTTCTCTCTCTCTGTCTCTCTGTGTCTCCAGAGAGCTCATGTGCCCTATAGCAAAAATATCCTTAAAAAAAAAAAAAAGAACAAAATTAGAAATTCCACTTTTAGGAATTTGGCCATAGAAACACTGGGATGGTGTGCAGAGGTATGTAAGTAGCAGTGTGCACTGAAATATCCATTTTAATGTGAAAATATTGGCTATAATCCAACAGCTAATCAATAGAAGTCAAGGTGAATAAATTATTGGGTAACTGCAATAGAATTCAATGTGGCTATTAAATAGAACAAAGTAAGTGATTTGTATTTCCATGGAAAGACCTCTAGGACATATTGAATAAAGAAGGCAAACTGCACAGTATGTGGACAATGATCTAATCTCTGTAAAAATGTAATGTATATACATATATGTATAATTTATATATATAATATGTAGTGAATAAGTGTTAGCATCAACATACAAAAAATATGTCATAATAGACCAACTTGTCCATGGAGATTATCTGTCCAATAACATATACATATATTTTTTGAGAGATTTTTGCTACAGGGCATGTGTGCTTGCCGGCCAGAGAGACGGAGGGACAAAAAGTGAGAAATCCCCCCCCAAGGGGGGCTAGCCATGCTGCCATCTCCTTTCCTCCATTCTCCTCTCAGGATTTTGGGCATACATGCACACATGCCTGATGTGATTCTCAAGCTGCTGTATCCAAGACTTGAACCATGGTCAACCATGTAGAAGTCCAGTACCTTAACCACTACGCCACCTGCTCGCCCCCAGTGATAAATATTTTATAATATTTGAATGTTATAATGAACTTGTTTCTATAGGCAGAAAAGCTTACAAACTTTTTTAGAATTATTTTATTTATTTTTTCATTTTAATTTGACCAGAGACAGACAGAGAGAGAGAGAGAGAGAGAGAGAGAGCGAGCGAGCAAGCAAGCTGCCAGGTCTGGGACTTAAACAGTTATTGGCCATGTGGGAATCCAACACCCTTAACCACCACACCACCACCGGCCCCGCCTACAAACACTTTTATAAAGAGAATTTCTCTTTCTAACTCACTCAGCTCACTGATTTTCATTATGGAGTATAACATGTTATAGTCCAGGAAATATAAGTTTAAAATCACAGTAGGGGGCTAGCTAAGTAGTGTAATAGTTAAGGCAGCTAGATCCCACATAGCTGACTTAGGAGTTCGAGTCCTGGACCCAGCAGTTTGAAAAACACTCTGGGCATATGTACATGCATGCCTCAAATCCTGAGAGGACCATGGAAGAGAAGGGATTGCAGCATAACCATCCCTGCATGAGGTACTTTCCCTCCCCCCAACTCCCCCCCAGTGAGGACATGTGCCCTACAGCAAAACAGAAAAAAGAAAAAAAATCACAGCAGGAACAGGGCCTGAGAGCATTTTCTCCCCCTATATGATTATGATTAAGAATGTCAGGAGAATCAGCAGTATCCACGAAAATTGCTATTTATCAGCAAGGATTCATAAAAGAAAAATTGAAGTTACCTGCTGAATTGTGTTGATGATAGTGAATAAGCTTTGGAATGGAATCAAAATAGTAGTTTTCAGCCAGGTATAATTTGTTTTCAGCGTTTGTATGCACATGGTAATGTTTGACAGTTCCTTTTTTATCAATAGTAAGAAATAAAGAATGTTAGAATATTTTTAATGAACAATTGAAGCTTGATTAGACAATGGCTAAATAATTATCTTAGATGCATTTGTACATTTAGGGGTGGGAAGTCGGGGAGGATTTCCCAGTCTTGACATCTGTGGTTTTCTGGAGGTGTCCATGACAATCAGCATTTGTGGAAAAGGTCTTCTGGCTGGACTCGATGTGTCTTTTGTGCACATAACAGAATTCATGTAGAACGAATTCCAACTTTCCAGACTATTCCTTTGGAGTATATTTACAGAGTATACAACTGGAATCCTCCTTGGATGATTGTGAGCCTTGCAGTTCTTCAGGATCACTATTCAGAACCTAAATCCTCTTTTAGAATAATGATGAAGATAAAAAGGTGGGATGCAAAAGTGATTGGGCTGTGAGTATTCGCACCTCAGAGCATGGATGGGAGACTCTTTTGGGAGTGGGATATGTGGGGTGAAGTGGGTGGAGAAGTCTTTTAATTGCTCATGTGAACTTGTACTTTTTTCATATAGATCATTTTTCCCCTTTCCCCTACTTTTAGAAAATAGTGGCAAATTGGTATATGTTGATTCTGGCTAATCAGGAGTATGGCCTAGTGGTCAAGAACTGGGCTTTGAGTCCAGTTCTATGACTGATTTTATATTATATATTTACTGTATTATTGACTATATATTTACTATTATTGGCACATAAGAAAAAGTTAATAAATCGTTGTAACGCTAACCTGGCTAAGACTGAAATTATAAAAAGGAGAAAGTGTACTCTTTGTTGTTGCAAATGGCTAATCATTTCTTGGTATCAGTGTGAAATTAACTCAAACCCATTGATGAGGTCTCACAAAAGAGGACGTCTACACTTATTGACTGAGATTATTTTCCTTTGACTCCTTATGTATTTGTTGACTCATCAACCTGGCCACATTCAAAAATAAATCTGGAGTCAAGAAGCTTCACTAGGAGGACATCTGATATCAGATTTGGCTGAAACTGCAGATGTTAAAGATGATGTCTTAGCCTAACATGTGACTAAGTGATCAGCATATTCAAAGAACACACAGAAAGATCAAAGAAATAAACCCACATCATACTTACTTTACAGCCTTACTAAATAAGGACACTGTGTACATTCCCACCTGGCTAGAATTTCTAACCATAAATGCGCCTTCTTTTCCCTAAAAAGGAAGGAAAATGTAGAAGAAACAGAAAACATTTTTGATTTTTCATAGTAGGATAGGGTAGGTAGATGGGTAGGAAAATAAATCTTTTAGATTCACTTTAAATGTCACCAAGGGCACAGGTTATCCAATGGCAGGCACAGAAGGTGGTCCACAGTTTAGTGTTCATTCTTTTTTTCACTCAGTGTCTTATAGATCTACCTGTATGCTTCAACTCTTCCTCAGTTAATTTTTGACACTTTCTGATAATTTTCTGTTTTGTACTTATGCAAGCCTAAATGTTTTCATCTTTAAGAAATAAAATTTAGACCCACACATCATCATATCATGGCCCTTGGAAGGTTTTAGGAAACCAAACATGCAGAATAAATTGTTAAAGTTTTCTACTCTACTTGTCTTTCTTAATGATTTGGGCTAAGGCTAAGCAGATCCCGATGCAGGAAGAGAAGATAATAAGCCATTAATATGACAAAATACCAGGTGAAGGCATCGCATTCTCAATAGCACTCCTCAAAGAAATAATTGATGTGTTCAGCATTTTATGTTGAACTATATCAAAGTGTCATTTTTATAGATCAAGAGTTTGCTATTGTTAATTCCATACAAATGAGTAATAAAATCAGATAAATCCTTTCCCTAGCTCATCTGTTGTACTCTGGTTTAGGTGCTAATGAGCAGAGACAGAGCTGAGGTAATGGCAAATGGTTACATTGATGGCTCCCAATAAATCATCTCTTATTCTTGCCCTGTGTATTCTCCTTTCACATTGACTGTGGGCTGGGCATGTGACTTGTTATGACCAATGTGACATTAGCAAACATGACAAAAGTGAAACTTAATACTGTCAGTAGTGTGGGGCTTATGCTCTTCTATCACTGCCTTGAGGATGCAATGCTGAGGAGATCCAAATTAGGCACATGGAGAGGCTGCTTGGATTAGAACTTTGGCACCCCAGTTGACTGCTTCAGCTAAACCCAGCCTCCTTGTCAACCCATCAGACAAATGAAGCCACATGAGTGACCTTAAGCAAACTTGCCAAAGAACTGCTGGCCTAGCTGACACACAGAATCATGAGAACTCATATATCTTGTTGTTTCATGCCACTAAATTTTAAGGTGGGTTATTATGCAACAATAGGGAGTGGAAACAGAAGTGACTAGATGTGAAGGACTTGGTAATCCATAGGCTGGACAAGCAATTCTTTGGTGAGTTTCAATAAGATACCTATGAGAATTGCCTTAACCTGTGGGCCTAACAATAGAGAGATTCTTAAAGTCTGTTTTAATCATAAAACTAATTTACCTTTTGTCTCAGTAACTGCTCAGATTGTGACCTGGAGATGTTACCTGCAAACCAGCTGCAACAGGAAAGAAATTCCATATTTGAGAACTAATCATTTTTAAATTGTGTAACTTGACACTCAATTTTCCAATCCATTGGCCTTCTAATCAGGAATTTCCAAACATGAATGCTCAAGAGAATAATCTGAGGAACTTTTCAAAATATACATTCTTGGGACCAGCAGGTGGCATGATGGTTAAGGTGCCGGAAACTCCCACATGGTTGACCACAGTTTGAGTCCCGGACTTGGTGGATTGCTTTCTCACTTTCTCTCTCTCTGCCTCTCTCTAGTCAAATTTTTAAAAATGAATGAATAAATAAAATTAAATAATTATTAAATACTAAACACACACACACATATATACATACATACATTCTTTAGTTCCCACCATCCAATTCTGATTCTGGGATGGGATCTGCACATCTGAATTTTTAAATGGGCTGGCCTTTAAGAATCTCTGGCTTTTTTCTAGGTGACCCCTAAATTCTTCTACATTTCACTGTTTTGAATGAGGGCCAGAGATTAGTTCAATGAAGAATATTCCAATGGGTAACTCAGGATTGCCAAGGATAAACGCTCTTGTTTTTCAATCCTATCATTTAAAAAAATAATCTAATAGAAGCCAATTTTTTTTTTTTTTTGGAGAGGTTTTTGCCTTAAGGCGTGTGTGCCCCACAGACCGACACCAGACAGACAGAGAAAAACAGAGAGACAGAAAGCAAGAAATCAACCCCCAGGGGGGATGGCCACGCCACAATCCCTTCTCCTCCATTCTCCTCTCAGGATCCTGGGCACACATGCACACGCGCCTGGAGTGAGTTTTAAGCCACTGGGTCCAGGACGCGAACCACGGTCGACTACATGGGGGTCCAGCAACATAGCCATTACGCTAACTGCTGGTCCCAATAGAAGCCAACTTTACAGAATCTTTTTTTCAAATAAAATGCTTCTTTAAATTAAAAAAATTTCAGGATAGCAATAGAGAAAGATCAAAATTTATATTAGGATAAGAGTAGTTTTATTGTACTGAGAAAAAGATGATGTGTGAGAACCAGGTATAATCTTTAAATGCTGCCCATTTTACTAAGGTAACCAAGAACATGGTGTCTGGCTTTATATGCAGAGCTCAACAGGTCAAGAGCTATTTCTTATCTGAGGCTAACAATGTCTGTGGCCTTTCGACTTGGGCTAAAATGTCATTCTAAGGAAATAAGTAGGATGTGAGGTGAGATGAGGTATGGGTTAGGGGGACTGTGAAGACTCACTGGCTAGAAAACACCTGAGGAGAAAAGAAGTACATGAAGAAGGTGAAAGTAGAAGGGAAGAGTTATAAGAGGAAAACAAGGCAGAAGATGCCCCAGAACATGGCAGGAATTGATGGGAAGTGGTTCTTTGCATAATCTCCATATTAGTTGAGAAAGAATGAGCAGCTGAAAAAAGTGGAAAGGCCTTAGACCAACCACTTCGGAGGTCTTGGTTCTAGACATAACTTCCAAACATGTAGTTGTATGACTTTGAATAAGCCACTTAGACTCTTTGACCTTGGATTTCCACATCTGTAAAATTAGGGGACAGGGAACTGATCTTGATATGTTTTCAAAGCTCTTCTAACTATCCTTCTAGATATTGTACAATTAATACATGAGATTTTAACTGATTGTCCTCACTTTGCCTGGAGAGACAAAGAAAGATAATGCAGTGTCCAAGAGAATTTTGTGCCATGAAGTACCAAAGGTCTGAGAGTCCAATATATTCTGGTGCTCACTTAAAGATTGACACCAATTTTTAAGTCCAGGAAATGATCATTTGTCTCTATTTGTAGAATGATAGAACTCGAGATTTTAGAAAGGACTTTAATGGCCATTTAGGCCAATCTATTGGGTCATTGGTAAAGTCATGATGGATTTTTTTTTTTGCATAGAAAAACACAGAAAAAAATGCATCATGACTTTTTCAATGACCCAATAGCTCAGTGTAATTGAAGTGATCACATACTCTTATTTGCCCAGAATGATCCAGTTTATGCCTGATATCCGGGTGTACTTTTTAATGGTGTACTCTTTCTCTAAATTATCCCAGTTGGAATGTTACATCATCAGGTCACCCTAGGAATGGGAATCTTTCAACACAAATGCTGCCATGTTCAAGGTCTCAGTTGTGCTACCTTATGTAACTGCATCATAAATAACTTCCCCCAAAATTTGACTCAGTGTTAATAAGAGCTTTCAAATATCACCCTGCTGGAGATTTTCAGAAAGGGAATAATAAGCAGAAACGTCATGTGCTCTATCTAATGAGACAAGGCGAGATAAAGGGGCCTTGGTATGTGATAAAGCCAGTGAAGATGTGCAGCCAATTTAGACCATCAGCTAGGGGGAAATATTTTCATTGGTAATAACCCAGCTCATCATCCTGTCATCTAGCTAAGTGGCTCAGATCCTCACATGTTTACTCATGTAAATACAGCCTCCTACGAAGGTCTGAACCAGCTTTCATAAACATCTTTGAGGAATAGAATAGAAACATTTATGTCTAGTTTTGGAGGAACACAGAAGACTTTCAACACTCACTCATAATCATCCAGATTTTCCTCTTCTTCAGATGAACTTGACTCAGGGAACCCCCTTAAAAAGAGTTGGAAAACAACATGAACATAAAAAAAGAAAAGAGAGGGGGAAAAAACACCCAGAAATAATCTGTCTAGCAGTGCAATACAAATACCACCCCTTTTTTTTATCCACATGAGTACAATTTAGACTGTTACTTTTTTTGCTGTAAGGCACACATGTTCGCCAGAGAGACAGAGACAGAGAGATAGAAAGTGAGAAATCACCCCAAGGGGAGATGGCCACACTGTAATCTCTTCTCTTCCATTCTTCTCTCTGGATTTTGGGCATGCATGTACATATACTCGGCGTGAGTTTTAAGCCGCTGGGTCTGGGGATTTGAACCACAGTCAACTACGTGGGAATCCAGTGATGTAACCATTATGCCACCTGCTGATCCTTAGACTGTTAGGGTTTTTTTGTTTGTTATTTGTTTTTCATTTTGTTTTGTTTTTTACACTTGGGCAGTATCAGCAAAGCGGGGAGACAGTCGCTCTAAAGTTGGACTCATATCCAGTTTAATGAGAGAATGACTCTTCAATACAGGAGGCTCCCAGGAACTCTAGATGACTCCTTAAGGGTGGTCATAGCATAAAGTTAAAAGAAATCTTGGGCTGTGCAGCGAGCTATTCTTAGGGAAGAACTATTCAACTCTAGGTTGACATTGCTCCTGTTAGAGGAGCCTGTGCTTGGTACAGTAATGTCCATGCTATTACTAGTGCATATCATGATTGAGAGCTGGGAAAAATCAATGTGAGGAAAACTGGGACCTACAAACCATCAGTTCAGACCCACCTAGGTGTTCAGAGAGGAAAACTACATGGAATTCTGGGTTAAACTGATCTCTAAGGTGAAGCCTAATGGCAACATTAGTGCAAATGTGGTTAGTTTTCCTGTAAAAGGGAGCAAGTCTTGATTATAAAGGAGTAACTGAATTTGATGTACCATGAAATCTTTGAGGTGCTGTGATTTACTATGTTCTTTTCTCTTTGGTTGCTACATACAACATCTTCACTGCTGCTGCTGCAAAAAGAGAAAGAGAGAGAGAGAGGGATGTTTCATAAATGTATAAATTTATGTTTACTGATAAAAGTGAAATGATACAAGTAACTTTATCCAGGTATATTTTAGCTTTATTTGACATTTTGACCCAGGCATTTCACATGGTTTAGAAACTTAAGCTAATGAGTTACTTTCACATTTTGGTCCTTTCAGGGACTCCTATAAAAAGCAGTGGTTTGGCAGTATTCCTAAACAAAAGAGAATTGTTCGTGGTGATTCATAATGACCCCAAACCCTAGAAACCTGGGTAATAAACCATCTTTGTTGGCTTTGTCCTGATTTTCTGGTAGCTATACAGGCATTCTGTTATTTATAACTTTTAAAATAAGCTATGTTTCTCTATGCAGTTGTGATTACAATGAAGTCTTGAAAATACTGAATTTTAAACCCTGTCAGGATCTAGATGAAATCAGCAGGGTTTCCATCTTCCTTTGTCACCCATCATTTTCTGTCTTTCATTGTGGGTGTTAAGCAGAACACGGGGAAGTGCCAAACTCCCAAAGTCCAAAGGCTGTTTTATCTGGAATGTGAACTGATTTCCTGTTTGCCTTCACAGCCCAGGCTCTCTTTCAAACCCACAGTTCATAGTGACAAGCTTCCTAGCAAGAAAATGCTCCTCTGGCTCCCTTTCAAGGAATGCCTGGAGAAAGCCCTTAAATGTGACAAGACCTTCCTTCTGCCTTTCCAAAGAGCCTCACCCACTACAATAGCTTTTTGGCTTCTTGTCTTCATAAAAAAACCCCTCTTATTTAAAAAGACTAAGCAATTTATTTAGCCTTCTTGTTGTTTTTAAGAATATCCATTGCTAGTTGCATCACTTCAGTTTACCCATGTCGTAGGATACTTTACAGGCATTCAAAATAACCAGGCAGGTTGCACGACGGTGTGTGTACTTAACACTACTGTACTGTATACTTCCAAATTATTCAGGTGGTAAATTTCATGTTACATGTACTTCATCAAAATTAAAATTGAATGTAAAAAATTACATTCATTCCCACTAACAATGGAGGAGTGTTCCCCTTTTGCCACATGTATAAATAATAATAATAATAATAACAACAACAAAGAAAAGAAAGAAAAAATGTATTCAAATGGGAAAAATGGCAAAGATGAAAAGAACACGTGACAAAGAAGACTGTGCAACAAGAACCCATCTTTATAATTGTATATAGGGTAGCATAGCACAGAAAACATGTTAGAGGAAAGTGTACTGGAAAGTCTGCAATATTTGAATGTTTTAAGGGGAGCATGCATTATTTTACTACTTGGGAAAAAAATTAAAAAGCAGGCCAGAAGCTGGGTAGGGTGGCTTGTGCCTTGGTCCCAGCTACGCAGGAGGCTGAGGCAGGATCCAATGAGACCCTTTCTAAAGAAATACCAAACACACATGTGTGCATGCTTACACGTGCCCTCATGTCCATGCACACATATATAGCAGCTCAGATGCAGATAGTAAAAATGACAGAAAGTTGACCAAAAGTATCACTCAATATATGAGCTAAAAGTAATGAGTGCATTTAAAAATTTCAAACTCCATGAAGACCTTTTAGCTATTATTATAGCTCATTCACAGATTCAATGCTGCTCATGCTAAAAAGTGGTTAACCAGTTGTTTGTACAAATAACTAGCTTTCTGAAATTCTAGGGGAAAATCCAGAGTCAGGACTAAAGGGAGTATAAAATCTAAGGAAGTGTCAAAAATGCAGTAATAGTAATTTTAATAAATTTTTAAATTTAAAATTGATGCAAAAAAATACCCCACTGTGAACAAAACTTCATTTTTAAATAAATACGAGATCTGGCCATCCATGAGTCAGAAGCTCTGCAGCAAACCTATGTGAGCCAACAGTTCTTCTTAGTTATTTGAAAACGGGTCAGTTTCATCACAGGCCTCCCTCAATGAATCGCCGAGATTTCTGTGAGAGAGGGGACCTAGCACAAGGTTAACATGACATTCATTCTCCTTGGGTCTGCATCCCCTTCCACAAAAATGCTGGGCTACAGGTGAATAAATGCAACCCCTTCCCTCAGGCACCAGGTATAGATTAATACACTTGGACTAGCTCCACTTTGGAATGAAAGGGATCACAGTTTGTAATACTGAAAAAAAAAAAAAGAAGAAAAATACACTTACATTCTTTCAAGTTCCATATGGCCCTGTGGCTGTATCATCGGTACAGTGAGGCATTTGCTTTATGTAAAATGATGAGGATGGAAAGAATACAGGAATAAGAGGACAAGGGAGAAAACAAAGGAGAGATACATGGTGAGTCAGAGATCTGCTCGGCATCCACTGTGGGAAAGACAGACAACGGGTACCCTGTAGGGATTTCCTGTTTGCCTTCACAGCCCAGGCTGCAGGGGTGCTGATACCTGGATAAGAAGATGGCAGGCGGCAGACAAACCGATGGGAGGAAGTCAGAGATAGCAACTAAGGAAGGGCTGTCACTTGAATTTTTCTGTATGGTCACCTCACAATTCCATTCAACATTTATTGAGCATCACTGGTGGGGCAAGTTGATGCCAGATACCAAGGGTAGATACCATTTACTGACTGCCTTCAAGGTGTTTTTAAGTCTGGTTTTAGTTAGAATCTTTAGGCTGAGAAATGTGAGACCACTAAGCAGGTCAGGAGACGTGGAAGTGTACATCCTGAGAAGGCAAGCCCTGGCCTTGCTTGAAAGGCTACTTGTCATTTGGCTAGTGATGCCAAAGCACATGATGGAAGTAAGCTTACACTAAGTGCTTTCACTTACAGAATATATTTTAAAGATTCTGTGTTCTGGAATGTGGAATTATTTTGGGGAGAGAGGAGGAAGGAAGAGGAGGAAATGAAATGTTCAAGTATTATTTCAATCGTTAGAACAGATCATCTAAATGGAAAGTCTATGCTGCTCAGTCCAGTAGGGCCACTGCTTCCCCAGGCTTCTGGCTCAGGTACTAAACCCTTTCTGAGAGGAGAGCCCTATCTCAGCTAAGGCCTGCACTAACAGCTTTGAGGCTGAGGGCCAAGACTGGGGTAACATCTACTGTATGTGTTGGGCAGCCAACCTGAAAGTTGGGTTTTACCTTTTCAGTTTTCTTACTTGCCACCAGTCGGGGCAGTCTTCTCTTGGAATATATTGCATGTTGACATTTGGCTGGGAGCCGTACTCTCTCTTCAAGTCGCTGTCGTAATGGGCTAGGGTGGTGCTTGAAGATGGCATATCCATTTTGAGAATAGGAACTGCCCGAGGAATCTTCAGCTTTGGAAGACAAGAGATTTTAATATATCACAGTGAGGCACAGATTCAGGTACTGGGAACCAGCAAAGTATACGAGCTCTTAAATAGGAGGAAAGGAGGAAGGAAGGAAGGAAGGCAGGGAGGGAGGGAGGAAAGAAAAAAGGAAGGAAGCAAGAAAAGAAGACTCCAAAAAAAGCAATACTAAGTATTGACAAAGACATGGAGCAACTGGGACTCTCATACTTTTGCTAGTTGGAGTATGAAGTGATGCAGCCACACTGGGAGCTATTGGTGGACTCTAGTAAAGCTGGGTGTGCACATACCCTGCAACCCAGAAATTATGCGTGTGTACTCAACAGTGAAACCAAAAGAGGTGTAAAAGAACATTCAAAGCAAAATTATTTAAATTAGATAAAACCTGGAAACCACCTAAAGGTCCATCAAGGGAATAAAATAATAAACATAATAAGCATATTGAGATTGAAGTAGGCTGAATAATGCCCCCCACACACACACACACACAGATGTTCATATTCTAATTCCCAAGGCCTGTGACTACCTTACATGGTTAAAAGGGATTTTGTAGATTGTAATGGAAGATAATGAAATGGAGAGATTAAACTGCATTACAGAATGGAACCCATATAATAAAAAAGGCCCTCATAAATGGGAAGCAAGAAGGTCGGAGAATAGAGAGAAGATGTGAGGATGGAAGCAGAGGTCAGAAAGCAGAGAAGCTTCTCTCCTTCTGGCTCTGAAAATCGAGGGCAGGCAAGGATCCAATGAATACAGAACCTGGAAGAGGTAAGGAAATAATTATTCCCTAAGGTCTCCAGAAGGAACATAGCTATGAGGTTCTGAGATGGTCTGTTTCTTAATCTGAATGTGGGTTATACAAATGTGTTCGGCTTGTGAAAAATCAGCAAGCTGAACAGTTGGAATTTGCATGCTTTTCTAAGTGCATGTTAGACTTTAAGTAACAATTCACATTATGTGTGTGTGAGAGTGTGTATTTGTTTAGGTTCTAAATTTTATCACAATGTATTTTACTTTTTTTCCCCCAGGTAGAGTTTTCTCAGAGTTGAAGTTTTAACATTCTAAAAATGTTAGTTATGCAGGACATTGTTATTTAAGAGCTGTGAAGTAGTTCTCTCTGAAGATAAATGCAGTGCAAAGTACCTTAAATGGAAATATGAACAAAACAGCTAGAGAGCTGATTTTTATTTATTCCTCTACTCAGAAAACAAGTCCTCTATTTACAGCTGATTTTTATTTCTTCCTCTACTCAGAAAACAAGTCCTCTATTTAATGCTCTGGTAGAAACAAAACAAAGGGAAACATGCTTTTCATAATAACTTCTCTGTTCTCTGGTTCATTTGGGCAGCTTTTAATCAAAACAGGCTTAGGAACCCTTGGTCACTGATTTGCCTGAATGATCATTTTTAATATGTTGTCCAAAGCATTCCCTACCAGAGATGGGATGCAATGGTTTTCTGGCTCCTAAATTATCTTCTGTTCTTAGATTTATTTAAAATAAACATTATTAGAAATTTACCTTTTTAAACCATAAAATTTAGTGACTTTTAGTAAATTTCTCAAGATATGTAACCATCATCACAGTCTAGACTAGGCACATTTCCATCACCCCAGTAGGATCCTTTGTACCCATTTACAGTCAATCCCCACTCCCACTCTGGCCCAGGCAACCACTCGTTAATGTTTGATCTATAGATTTGCCTGCTCTGGACATTGATCTTAGGTGTTTTTTTAGGGCCATAATTTTCAAGCATCAAGACTGGAGCACATATCCAAACCAAAACAGTGATGTCACCGATAACAAGGTCAAAATCCAAAATCATAATAATTGTTTCCTAGGGCTTCTACAACAAATTACCACACATTTAATGGTTTAAAACAAAAATGTAGTCTTTGATAGTTCTAAAGGCCAGAGGTCTAAAATCAAGTTTTCAGCATGGCCATGCTCACTCCAAAGGCTCTCAGGGAAAACTGTTTCTTTCTCTTCCAGCTTCTGGGGGTTGCAGGTATGCTTTGGCTTCTGGAAGAATAAATCTGATTTCTGTCTAGGATTTTTCATGGCTCCCTCCTCTATGTATCTATTTGTGTTCACTCTCCTTCTTAAATGGACACCAGTCATTGGATTTGTGACCCACCCTCATCTTGCATGATTGCATCTCGATCTTTAACTAATGACATACTTAAAGATCCTGTTTCCGAATAAGATCACATCTTAGGGTTCTGAATGGAAACAAAATTTAGGGGACACTATTCTGTATACTACAGGAATTATTTTTGTCCTTCATGTTGGTTCACACACAAAAAAAAATAAATGGTGATTTTTACTTAGCATGTGCGAATAAGTGTATCTGAAAATAAGTACCCAAGACACCACAGGCTCAATTCCTTACTTTCTGGTGAGTCTCCAAAGAACCACTGGGAGGCCATTTTATGTGTCTTCTGGAACGTGAATAGGTTGGCACCTGCCTGGAAAGCCTAAAAGCAGGAGGCTGTGGCCATGAACCCAAGAAGACAGACCAAAAAATCAAGAAGCCATCTATACTCTGAGAGCAAGATGCATATAGTTCAGTTAACTAGAGCAATAAAGGTTTCATTTGTTTTTCTGTAGGCCAACTCTACCTTTAGGAAAAAAATGGGCTGGTAGATTTCTTGACAGGAACTCTGCCCAGATGGCTGAATTGATCCAGCAGGAGGATTAGGGGTGGAAAATCCAAGAGCTGAGGATTATGACATCTTTTCTGTCATAAAACTATTATACATGTTCATCTGCCTCTAAGTGGGAAACCTAGAAAAGTCTCCCATAAGATTAAGAATCAGCACTGGGGACCAGCAGTTAGTGTAATGGCTATGTTGCTGGACTCCCATGTAGTCAACTGCGGTTCACGTCCCGGACCCGGTGGCTTAAAACTCACGCCGGGTGCGTGTGCGTACATGCCCAAGATCCCGAGAGAACGGAGGAGAAGGGATTGTGGCGTGGCCATCCCCCCTGGGGGGTGATTTCTCGCTTTCTGTCTCACTGTCTCTCTCTGTCTGTCTGAGCCCCCGCGCCCGATAGGAAAAACCCCTAAAAAAAAAAAAAAAAAGAATCAGCACTGGGAAACTTACCCAGATACTATCATTACTAAAGGATGCTAGGGGGACCAACAGGTGACATGGTGGTTAAGATGCTAGACTCCCACATAGCCAACTGTGGTTAGCGTCCTGGATGTGGCTGTTTGAAAATCATGCCAGGCATGTGTGCATGCATGACCAAAATCCCAAGAGGGGAATGGAGGAGAAGGGATTGCTTGTGGTGTGGCCATCTTCCTAGGGGATGATTTCTCACTTTCCCTCTCTGTCTCTCTCCAGTGAGTGCATGTGCCCTGTGGTAGAAACCTAACAACAACAACAACAAAAACAAATCCAAAAATTAAACCTAAAGCATCAGAGGACCAGCAATCTATGAGTATGTCCTCATTAGGACCCCTCTTGCTTGGCCTCTACCCTAAAATATTCATGAACTAGCTTCTCTACATTTCCCCCAAAGCAGGCTGCCAACCGATGCATATCCATGTTAGGTAAAGGAGAGAAGTTTCAACTTGTACTGATGTTTGCAGTTGTGTGATTATAACATTGAATCCAGACAATGGGCCAATCTAGAGGCTGTTCTCATGACTACTAACAATATAGGAAAACTTTATCATCTGGGAGTGACTGAAAAATTATGAAATCTGCCTAAGACTTCATCCAGATACAGAAAAGCTTTCAAAGGATAATGGAGGAAAAGCATTTTGCTTTTTTTGTGTGTGTGCTCTATGAAGCCCCATTCCATCACCAGGATTACTTTCACAAGGCAGTCTTGGCCATGCTGGTGGTAGGAAAAGAAAAACAGCTAAGAACAGTTGCCAGTTATATGCGATGCCATCTTAAGGACTTTTTATCACAGGAATACAATTTTGGGGTAGCTATTTATGGGCTTACTGGTTAGGAAAAAAATGATAATTTAATACAAAATATAAAACGTTACAATGGCTCTATATTTGAGTCTGTTATTGGGTACCTTCCATAGCTATTAGTGATAGCTCCTTTTTCTCTGCTGAGCAATCTGAATGAAGCCCACCTTTTCTAGTTTTGAATCTGGCCATCTAGGTTTATTTAACTGATTATGAAAAAACATTTATAAAATGTTGACTTACCACCCTGTCTGGGAAGATAGGAGCTCTGTGTTTTTCTTCATTGGTTGCAATATGTAGATCAGCATCTGAAAAGTTAAACCAAGTAATAGCAGAATAAACTTTAGATGGAACAAAGAAAAATACCCAATGCCATTCATCAGAAGAATAAACCAGCTTGTTTATTGAGTGGATTAAATGAATTAACACCCGTTTAGAATAATTCCGTAGTGTTTCCTGTATTTTTTCAACTGAAAGACCATTTCTCCATCATTTATTGACATCTCCCTACATCTAGATTAAAATTTGAAATTCCTCTAAATCCTATGAGCTATAATTTGTACCTCATTTCTATATCAGATTCACAGATGGCTAATCTCATCAGTTAGTATACATGGCCCTTTAGGTCAGGGTCCATGTCTGACTCCTCTTTGATCGACTCATAGGAGATATTTAATCATTCTTAGAGTCAATAAGTAGCTGATAAATACATGAACAAACTTACTGCAAGCTTTCCCCTTCTGTACTTATGATAATTGTTGATTTTCCTTTCCATCCTCACATGTCCAAGTTATGAGTGTGAAGCCACTGCATGCCTTATCAGTAGAGACCATATGGTTTATTGCCAAAACTGGAACATTTTTGACAGTGATAAGAACATGCTTTTAATGACTATTCCATGTTAACAGGCACAGAATGAGATTGTCCCAAACAAATTGGGGGGTATGGTCAACTTACCAGTAGGGGAGGTACCATGGATGAGTGTGGACCAGGGTATCCTGGAGACAAAAATAAATGAAGACACCCAGGAACTGTTTCCTTTTCCTTTCCTACAACACCTGAAGTAGGTGTGCCTTAGGTTGCTCAAGCCAAGGGAGTAAATTGTACTTGGGCAGATAGACAATAGCACAGGTGTTCCTGAGCCACAATACCTCTACGCTCTGTAGTCTGTCTCAGAGGCTGACAGAGAGCCTGAAGCAGCCAGAACACATGATGGATGCTATCCAGACAGAGTCTAGAAAACTAATCCCAAGGTAGTGCTCTTTTTCCTGTTTCTTCCCACGGAGTTAGGGCAAGGTAAGAGCTCAAATCTGGTCCATTAGGTAATGATACCAGACAATAGACAGAACCACTGGGTAAAACAATTAACACTGCAAGGAGACATTACTCCTTGGTTCCTCACGGTGGAGGGGAGATTCCCGTACAGTAAATGCTTTACAGTTCATTAAATCACCATGATTCCTGAGTATAAAGGGCAATGTGATCTCATTGAGATGAATGAATATTGTATAATCTAATCAAAGTGGATAATATAATAAATACTTATTTGTTGATTTTTGAGGTACATTAACATGATTTTTGAGTATAAATACTGTTATGGGTTGAATTTGAAAATTATTTCATGTGTCTCTGTGTTTTCAAGTTCATTAAGTACTTCCAAGTAGAAGTCATTATAGTCTGGGCATATTCTGTACAGGTTGGTAAAGCCATTACCAAAATAAGTTCTCCTTTATTTTTGGTTCATCAACAACTTCATATGGTTAAACAATTACAAACTTTAAAATATATAGGTTCGCCATTTCCCCTAGAAAAATAACTGGATGGAATCTGCTTGCACTTAAAGCAAACCCTTCTCTACATTCTCTGTTGTCATTAAGAAATCAACACACATGTACAGAATGGCAATATATTGGAATATATTTTTAAATATATTGGAATATATTTTTTAAAACTTGGCCATCTTTATTTTGGAATATACAGTGAATATATTTCTGTCTCTCTGTCTCTCTCTGTGTCTCTGGTGAGTGCGCACACCCTATAGCAAAAATTTCTCTCCCCCCCCAAAAAAATATATCTATTGATATACTTTTTAAAATAATGTTGTGCTTTTTGTTTTGTTTTTGTTTTTGTTTTTGTTTTTGTCCATGACTTTTGTCATTTATAAGAAGAAAAACTGGTTTTCTTATCAAATGGGAAACCTAGATGTTTGAACCAGGGTCATAGGTTTACCACATTCTACCTCCTTGGAGTTTATCTTGAACCAGGGAGAATTATAGGAGGAAATAACAGCTCATTGTTTGACTAATGATTCCAATTTAAAAAATACTTCTCATGAAGTGGAAGAATAGCAGATGTTAATATTATTATTATATTATTATTATTTTAATGGCCACAATTCAATTGGCCCACAAATTAGGCTTCATTCATCATACAGCATCTGCAAGGCTAGATTTTCACAATGCAAATCAATTTGGCACATCTTGCTTTCTGGCAAGCTGTTCTGGCATCTGGCTGGTTTGTACTAATGGGGCACCATCCACTCAGGATCCAGCCCAACCAAGGCGTCCACATACATGCTTCCCAGAGGGTACATCCTGGGGCGGCTTTGCAACTCTGCTGGCAGCACAGGAACTTGCCATCCACGAAGAACCCACTGTGGTACTTGATCAGTAGGTGGGGGTTGCCCCTTATCTCTGAGGAGTAAGCAGGAAGCAAGCATATTGTGAGCAAATGTTGGCTGGAGAGAAGAAATGTATTCAGTAAACATTGTTTTCACTGAACAGTAAAAATCCATTTGGGGCCCAACTGCAGTGACATAGGTAGCGGGGGTACCGCTGCAATGCTGGAAACCATGGAAGGCTCCAGGTTCATGTCCTGATCTGTTCTTAGGCAAGCCTGTGATCCTGGCTGGCTGCAGGCTGGGGGAAGATAAAAGAGTGAAGACTCTGTAAAGGGTGCCCCTCTCTCTTTTTCTCATAGGAAGGAAATAAATAAAACTAAGAAAACATTACCAGCAACCAAGGTAAGAGCTAATGGTTCCCAAAGGATGTAAGTCATTCACTCAGAAGGTATTAAGCCAAACAGAAAAGCCTAACCATGTATATAGTGAAGACAATACGATAAGTGGTATCGCTGTTGAAGAAAATAACTAGTAAGAATGCACACACAGACCCAGCCTCTCTGGCACAGCAGTGTGCAGGTGTCTGCAAGGCTGGAAGCCATATGGCTGACAGTGGGTTCAGATTCCCAGTTTGCCTAAAAACACACTGTGGCACGTGTGGGCACCTAGGATCCTGAGGAGTTGGAGAGTTTGGGGGAAAGGATCTCAGCAGGACAAGACCATGTCGAAGATGCTTCTCTCTCTCTCTCTCTCTCTCTCTCATATATACATGCTTTCTATCACTAAAAATGCATATACAGATCATCTTGGTGTTAGGATTTTAGAAATACTTTTGTAAAGGGAGTGAGTGGGTTATAGCACATGGTTCTCTCTATGGCAAAAGGAAGCCAGAAGGTAGGACTTGATCTTAGAAAAAAAGGATGAAAGTTTCTAATAAGTAAAATAAACACTTTCCCCATTTTTATTTTGAAAAAAATTTAAATGTACAGAAAAGTTACAAGAATATTACAGTGAATATTCATATGCCCCTACCTAGATTTACTAATTGTTATCTGTTAATTGTGTAACCATGTGTAACCATGGTTTTCCTTAAATTGCTGCTGAGTCAGCTCAAACCTTCCATGTGCCAGTTACCATCTGGATAATTCTTTTTTTTTTTTTTTTTGGTTGTGTGCACTCGCCAGAAAGAGAGAGACACAGAGACAGAAAGCGAGAAATCACCCTGCAGGGAGGAAGGCCACATCACAATCCCTTCTCCTCCATTCTCCTCTTGAGATCTTGGGCACGCACACACACACACATGCCTGGCATGAGTTTAAGCCACCAGGTCTGGGACTCGAACCACAGTTGACTACATGGGAGTCCAACGACATAGCCATTACACCAACTGCTGGTCTCCCATCTGGATAGTTCTATGCCTGCAATTTCTACCTTAGTCCATAATTCTTAGGCCAAATAATAGATAAAAGGGAGTCATTGTATCCCAATGATTTTATAGGGGAGAAGATTAGAGTGAGGGAAACTTTGTTTTACTGTGGTAGATTGGTTGGCCAATTCAACAGCCAATCCCACCTATCCTCTCTCATTATCTTCCAAGATAGTGGTTGGAAAGACTGATACTTTCTTCTGGCTTCCTTTGCACATAGAAATAGCCACAAGGCAGTTCTGGATGATGTGACATAAGCAAAAGTTTGCAGTGGGGGGGCATCTAGAAAAGCTTAGAACCTCTTCAAGGGCTTCTAAGGGTGACAGCGTGGAAAGCTAAGAGGAGTCTGATTCCCTAACAACTTCACTGAGCTGCTGCACCATCCCTGAACTGCCTACCTCTGGATTGGTTACTTTGGAAAAAGAAGAAAGTGGATTTGTTTTAGCAACTGTTTGGTGTCTTTTACCTGAAGCTTAAAGCATTACTAACTGGTACAAACCATTTACTGTGCATATGGAAGCACTAGTTATGGGGATTCTCTGCAGTTTGATGAGGGACTAGCCAATAGATTTTTGCTTCTCTCTCTGCTCTCCTCATACATTCCATATGCCCTCATATGAGTTGCTCAGGAACCATCCAAATCTGTCCAACACTTAGAGCTCCAGAAGGACCCACAAAGGGAGTCCTAGGAGGCAACCAACAGCTGTACATAGAAGATGTGTATGTAGCAACTGCTCCCTTCAAGAAATTCCCCCAAAGGAGATGGAATGGAAAGCAAAATCTTCTAACTCCTCCTGAAAACCTCACTCTATCCACAGTAACTCATGTTTGTGTGTAGGATAATATATTTAGGAGTTTCTCATTTGTTGCTTATGATTGCTCTAGGAGAAAATAAATTTGGTCTTCTGTCTTATAGGTCAGGAAACTGAGACCTAGACATTTTATATGCTTTTATTAGATGACATGACAAAGCAGAACTTGGCTGCATGTTTGCCTGGCTCTGAGAGTGATGTCCTTCTCATTTCAATGAACTTGTAGTGGGTAGAGGTGGGTTTCTCTTCCTCAATGGAACATTTTACTATCCTACAGAATAGTATAGAATATAGAATAGGCTGTTAAATTTTTTCTTGAAAGAGAAGAATTAAGCCCTATGTGTGAAGATAATGTATTTGTATCAAAGTAGAATAGGTGTGTGGAATTTGAGGTGTACTAAGAAAGAAGCACAATCTAAAATTTAAATGAGATAAATAAATTCTTCTCCCATCAAGAAGCTTAATACCATGGGACCAGCGGTTTGCACAGTGGCTATGTCACTCCCATGTAATGGAACGCAGTTCAAGTCCCGAACCGGTGGCTTAAACTCACGCCAGGCACGTGTGTGTGTGTGTGCCCAAGATCCCAAGAGGAGAATGGAGGAGAAGGGATTGTGGTGTGGCCATCCCCCCTGGGGGGTGATTTCTTGCTTTCTGTTTCTCTGTCTTTCTCTGTCTTTCTGGCTACCTACAGCAAAAACCGCTCCCCCAAAAAAGAAGCTTAATACCTGAAATTTCACAGGGTCATTCATTTGAGTTAAATATTGTCCTGACACTGTCACACACATCTTTAAAATATAAATGTCATAGAAGAAGACATCATGGAGCCAAATTACTAACAATGATTCCATTCTATCAAAGATTATTACCAGGCAGCCTGAAAGTCACTGAATAAAAAGCTTCATTAAATCCCTAGTTTTTCCTGGCATTTACAAAGTACTGGTTAAAAAGTTAGGTTTGGGTGATTGAATTCTGAGTCACTCATTACTAGGTATGTGACATTGGTCATGTTTTTAAAGCTTCACATGTCTGAAAAATGGACAGTAATATTACCCCTTTCCATAGAGCTGTCAAGAAGATTGCCTAAGAAAATGTTTTTTAACAAGTACTTGATCAAATAGCTGGCAAATGATAAGTGTTTAGTAAGTATTAGGTATAACCTTCTTTTATAAAAGTTTTTAAAATTTCCTATAGGGTACATGCACCCACCAGAGTGGGAGAGAGAAAGTGAGAAGACACTCCCCAGGGGGTATGGCCACACCACGATCGATCCCTTCTCCAGGAGGATTCTAGGCATGCACATACACATGCTCACTGTGTTTTTCAAGTGCTGAATCTAGGACTCAAACTCATGCAGCTGGCCGTGTGAGATCCACCCACCCTAACCACCATGTTACTGGTTGGCCCAATAAAACTTTCTATAAACATGGAAAGCACACTAGCTACAGGACTGAACACAGCTTCACGAGGACCTAGACTTTGCCCGAGTAAAGGCGAACACAGCGAGTGGAGAGCCAGTGGCCTGACTTCCCCCAAGCTGCTGGGAAGGCACAATAGCTGGCTCTGTGCAAAGCAGGAAAGGGAATCTGACCCCCAGGCTTCCTGTATGTAACAATGAGAATGCAAAATGAGGGTGAACCTGACACATTCCCTGAGTTTGGTAGGAAAATCAGTAGATTCTTTCTTGGCTTTTGGGTTCTTTTACTGTCATATATTTCTTTCATCAACCCTCCCCCCCCAATTGATTTAATGACTCCTTTATTTCATTTTGGGTTACCTTTCTGTAATGCCTTCAACCACTGACTTCGGCTCTCTTCATTTGATGCATAGACATAGAGAAGCCCATCTTTGTAGACGATCTGGAAGGAAAACATTTGGCGCATTATATAATTGCATCCTAGGTTCACTCTGGTGCACGTGCAAATTTTCTGTTATCCAAAAGAAAACTTGAATTTGCTTATATAGTGTACATCAGACCTGAAATTAGATGGGAAAAGTATATTTTTTAATATTCCATCCCTCAATTCATTTCTCCCAGTATCTGACAGCAGTGAACACTGGGATATCAGCAAAGATGCCCTGGGTCCTGGAGAATTACAATATGTCAGACATTGCATGAGTCTTAGGAGTGTTCTAGTCCATCTGCCTACATGTGCATGATTGTATTTAAAGCCCACCTGAAAATGTTTAACTGCTCTGTCCTTAAAAATACCTTCAGAAATGGAATGTACTTTACTTTGTGAAAGGTCTTTGCCAACTTTCTATTCTGATCATTATACAGTTCATGCTAAAATGGAGTAAAAATACAGGTCCCTGTTACTTCAGTCTGTTGAATCCTGTACTACCCCGGGAATCACCAAAATAAGTCATTTTCCCTTGAAATTTTGAAGATAACAATATCTTCTCTAGATCTTATTCTAGTTTATTCAACTCTCGTTGATAAATAATACATGTGATATATTAAATAAGTACTAGTTGCTAGGCTCTTTTCTGGCTACTTTACTATTTTAATTCTGAAGACCTATTTGTGTATGCCTCCTCCCCTTTTTTAGAGAGAGATTTTTGAAGTAGGGTGTGTGAACTCGCTGGTGAGACAGGGTGACAGAAAGTGAGAAATCACCCTCCAGGGGGGATAGCCATAGTCCAATCCCTTCTCCTCCATTCTCCTCTTGGGATTTTGGGCATGCATGCACATGTTCCTAACATTATTTTTAAGCTGCTGGGTCTGGGATTTGAACTGCAGTCGACTACATGGGAGTCCAGCGATGTAACCATTACATTATCTGCTTGTCCCAGAGTATGCCCTTTTCACTAATGAGGAAGGAAATATAGATAGAAGGAATATGAGTTTATAGTTATACAAATACAAGTGATGGGGTTAGGAGCTCTGTGGTGCTCCAAAGCCTATGTTCTTTTGAATACACTATGCCTCTGTGATGCGAGCCTGCAGCATCTTTCATGAGCGCACTCTCCTCTGGTTTCTTCCAATTGGGCTTTTTTTTAAGTAGTAAAGTATGGATTGTTAATCAATTGGATTATTGTATTTCATTTTTGGACACATTCTTTAATATTAGCACTGAGTACTCTGACCATCTGGAAGACATTTCATGTGCCTTTATATCAGAAAGGCAAGTATTCATGACATAATAAAAGTAAGGTATGGCTTAGATCAAACCATTTGCAAAAGAGGTGACATAGAGTCAGTATACTCTCTATAGTATACCATTGTTTAAAATAATTCACAGTAAAATGAAAACTTCTTAGCATGTCATGCAAATCCTTCATTGGCCCTGTGTGCCTTTCCAGGCTGAGGGTAGGCTCCATACACTGAGTTCTCCTTCTCACTCCTTCTTTGCTCTTTCTCCATGCTCCTCACCCCCACTTTAACCCCAGCTGCTTGTCTGGCTAGATCTCATGAACATCTTATAACCATTCTCTGACCTCGCCGAACTGGCTTATGGCTGGGCCATTCCAGAAATATGTGCCCCTCTCCCACATCAACATCCCCAAATCAGAGGCACTAAATTAATGTACAAGCTCTGGCAACTCTGCTAATTGGTAACTTAACCATCGTTATCTTCAGTGTATATAGAAAGCAGGTCCCTGCCTTGGAGACAGGGAGTCTGTGCTGATCTTGTAGGCAATGTACACACTCTTTGATGTGTAACATATATAATGTGACCCCACACTCATGGTAGCATGGACCATTCTCTGGTTAGCCATCAGCAGAGCTTCTTACCCTACTAAGTAAACTCATGTCTTCCCCTGCTGGATCTCTGAGTGTGTTCTTTAAAATTGGTAAACATTATGGGCAAGCCCTTTCAGATTTGGGGCTCCTCCCTTCTTTCATCTGCTCATCTCTTTCACTCTCTCAGGAGGCTGCTTTATTCATAAGGTCTACACGAGACTTCCCAGACATACTGTATTAAGTCATCCATTAGTGCCTTGACATATACTGTTTTCTTTGTTCTTTTCTCCTTCCCGTACTTGCTGGCTAAATTCTACTTGTTCTTCCCAACCTGTGTGTCATCTCCAAAGAACATCTCCCTGACCTCTTGGAGTTAGGAGTCATGCTTCCGCTTCCTATGGCACCATGAATGTACTCTGCCGACTTCTGTCTTAACACTCATGCTCATGGCATTATAATGGGGTCAACTTATTAGTCTTTTTTGCCACATCCCTGTAAATGTCCTGGAGTGGGGTCCATGTTTCATTCCCTGTAGTATGCCTCCTACCTCGTAGCACATCAGAGACACTCAACAATGTTAGATAACACTGTCAGACTGGAGGCAGGACAGGCCACTCTTGCTTATGTTCTTGTCTTGCTTCCCCCTCTTTATGAAAGGCAGATTAGTGGACAAATTTTTTTGCAAAATGCCCGACTTCCATCCAGGGATAGTCTAAGCCTTGTCAATGTCTTAATGGATCATTTTGCAATATCATGATTTTTCTTAGATATAGTGACACATTCATAATAGGAACTATTAAAAGAATATCCACCTACCTAATGTAAGGTTGTCCCTCCCTTTACCTGAAATGGGTACTGTCTCTCCACGGGTGTCTGCTCCTCGAGATTTACTTTCTCCACACATCTGATTTTCTTAATTTCAATGGATCCTTTTCTGCTGCCTCTTTTCTGAATTGTAAAACAAAATATAAGATACCTCACATAGTATACCATCTTCAATGTGTGCAGAAGCCAGGTCTTTTTTCTTGTACAAGGAAAGCATAAAGCTAAAGTTATGCTTGAGAGGGAGACTAGAGGATAGGACAGGCCATGAAGAATGACTTCCCATTAATCCTTACTAGTCAAAATTCAACGACAACAGAATACGTTTCTCGAGTGTGGACATAAATTCCTCCAAAAGCAAGTCTTTAAGCAATAGGCAGTCATCAAGTTTGATAATTCTGAAATGCTTCAAATCACCTGCTATAAGGTTAATACAGTCAGGAAAATCAAGACTTAATTTCACAAAGTATCTTTACTTTGTTTCAATATTATGCCAATATTTCAGTATTTCTTCTATGCTAGAATTCTCAACTGTATAGAAATAGTCTGATTTTCAGCCTTGTTTTAGGGCAGCATTTCTGATTTTCAGCACTCTTGACAGTCGGGGCTGGATAATCCTTTGCTCTGTGTGCGTGTGGTGGGGAGAGGGCATCCTGTGGCCTGTAGGATGTTGGCAGCATCACTGGTCTCTACCCAGCAGATGCCATGAGCACTTACTCCCTCCCTCCCTCTGCTAATACATGCCATCAGTTGTGATGACCATAAATGTCTCCAGCCATTGCCCTGAGTTCCCTAGAGGACAAAAATGCCCTCAGCTGACAGTCGCTATTCTAAAGTTATAATTTGCCTCAGTAAACTAATGTTTTCAAATCTTTTAGCTTGAATTCACTACAGCTTGGTTAAGAAAAGACAATGTGATAAGTGGATACACAATGATCTTTGCTGTGTAATCTAAGAAACCTGATATTTCATCATAACCCAACACTTTGTGATGGCTGAGGAAAAATCATAAATAGTATAAAAACAATAGAACAAGTAAGATCTTACCATTTTGTCATACTCATAATAGGAAAGATTTGTTTTGGTCAAAACAAAAGACCGTTCTTTGTAATTATTTGGTGACATTTTCTTCTTTTGTTGGGACCTTTTGAGAAGAAGTTCTTCTAGAATAGATTTTGTATCCATATTATCCTCCTAAGTAAAATAAAATAATTAAAATGAGCTCAGCATCTAACTAGGCCTTCATTTAGCTTCATATTTTTTACTCAACCATTTCACATTCAGAGATAATATAAATAGTAATTTTTAAAAATGAAACTGATCTTGGATTATAGAGTAAGCTACAGACATACTTACAGGTTTTTCTTTTCTTTTCTTTTCTTTTCTTTTTTTTTTTTTGCTTTTCCTCTTTGTTTTGATTTTATAAATATGTGGCTTTTTTAAAAAAAATTTGCCAAAGGGCATGTGCACTTGTCAGAGAGTGATAGAGAGATAGAGAGGGAGACAGTGAGAAAGCAATCCCCTCTGCGTGTGAATGATCTCTCCACAATCCCACGTCCTTCATTTCTCCCTCCTCTCGGGATTTTGGGATTTTGCACACAAGTCAGCCATATTTTTCAAGCCACCAGGTCCAGGATTCTAACTGCACAGTCAGGCATATGGGACTCAGCCACCTTAACCACCATGCCACTGCCTAGCCCAAGATACATTCAGCTCATCTCACACTGGATCATAAGTTCATCATCTTTGCAACCACTCTCTAGACCACCTTATCAACATACTCTTTACTTCTTAAACATTCTGTAGATGTTTATTGAACTAAATACGCTGTAATAAAACTTAAAAAATTGAATTCCAGACAATCTGCCACATATGATTAATGGAAACATTTTTCCCTTAATGCAGTCAGTGGTTTGAACGAATTATCCAAACCATTACGAGATGCTAACATCATTGTAAGTGACAACCCCAACCTCTGACTGTCACCAGATTTTTAACAATAAGTACATAGGTATAATTTTTAATATTTTCGAAAATTTAAAGTAAACATGAATGTACAAGATAGAATAAAATGAGAATATATGAGTGCAATAAAAAATGCCATCAAGAAATTTTAAAGTACTGAAAAAAAAAGTACACCTATCAAGTAAAAACACTCTTGCTTTTTCTTCCAGTCATGTGAAACATTAAAACTTAAAGTTTTTTTTTTTTAAGTTAATTTTCTGGTTCTGCTAAATCTGTTACTTCGATCCTTATCGGATATCAGTTCTGATAATGAAAAGTAGTGAAAAAAGAGAAAAGTAAAAAAAATAGGCAACCAGGATAAACTTTCTTAAATCCTTTGTGTTGTAAAATTGAATTGCTATTTACAGTCAGATGGCTAATAGTTATTAATAGATAATCGGAAAGTAATTAATTTTACTCACCATAGACTTACTAGAGCTGAAGTGTATACGTGGATACTTGACTTTTATTCTCAAGGTCTAGCAAGAAGTTACTGCTCTGAGCACCATCACTCATATTCCCTCTGACTATGCCAGGGTCATGCATAGTCAACAGAAGATATTTGCATCCTATTTATTCCTCTCGAGCCATCACCCACACAGGCATTGCTCTGTCTGGTTGGAGGCAGGTGCTAAATGAATCTGTCCAGTCGTTAGAGGGCACTTCTTCTCACTGGCCCCACATGATCCACCCACTATGGCAAGGAAGTGGGAAGAAAAGGAGCCTAATAATACAACCCGATCTTGAATAAGCCACGGTCAATCCCAGCCAGTTTTCCTCACGATATAGTGCACACAACTCTAAGAGCAAGAATGAAGAAAACCAGCTTTTATGATTTATGTACTTAAATTAGGAGATGAGTATCTTTAAAATGTCCTCCAAAGGCACCGTTTGATTTATAGACAGAAGTAGTGGGAATCTTATCCATGAAATATAATAAAGTCTTGGTTAATTTTTGCTTAGGATGTTATTTTACCTATTAAAAATAAAAAGGATAATTCTTTTGCAAAAGTCCAATGGATTTCTTTCGGCCATAATGGGTGCTATGTTCCATGGTCACTGGTTTCTCTGCCCAGCTTGGAGACAGAGCAAGGATCGGGATGCAGCAGAGCAGGCAGGGCCTGAGGCGTCAGGGAGCACACCAATCTCTCCTCTCCATCTCCATTCTAAGCTCTACACACAGACCCACTCCCATCTGCTTATTTTCTACATCCAAACTCTATGATCAGAATAAATGTGCTTGAAGACTTATGGAAACCATGAAGGTCTACTTTTCAGGAGTGACAGTTTCCTCTTCGGGAGGGGATGCATACCACACTGGAAATGGTTGTTGGGCACTTTAGCCTTATATACTTCTACATTTAAAAAATTGACCAGAAAAGCAAAAAGAGAAATATAAAAACTCTTTTTTTTCCTTTTTTGGAGAGGTTTTTGCTATAGGGTACATGAGCTCACCAGAGAGATAGAGACAGAGAGACAGAAAGCGAGAAATCACCCCCCCCCCCCAGGGAGAAGGCCCCCACTGGGCAATCCCTTTCCCCCCACATTCTCCTCTGGGATCTTGGGTATGCATGCACACGCTCCTGGCGTGAGTTTAAGCCACCGGATCCGGGACTCGAACTGCAGTCGACTACATGGAAGTCCAGCGACACAGCCATTATGCTAACTGCTGGTCCCGAAATATAAAAACTCTTACTAAATTTCTTTTATCTCCACAGCTAAGACAATACTCCTCAAAGCAGAATGTTAATTAAATAGATCTAGTTAGTTGAATAGAAAGTGTACTTTTCAAATTTTTTTCAGACACTGAATCAATTTGCAACATGACTAACACTGTTTTGAAAATGCAAAACCCAATGGCCACGGTAGTATGTAAGCTTTCCCAATATTGCATGATGATATACACAGTTTTCTAGTTATGAAACTTCACATGCATCACATTAAAAGTTGGCTTTTGGGGGAATTTTATATAAAAAGAATTAAGGTAAGTTGGAGAGGGCCCTGTAGCCCAGTGGTTAAAGGAACTGAATCCTCATGGTTGACTGTGATTCAAATCCCAGCCCTGGTGACTTGAAAAACATGTCAGGCATGTGCATGCCCCAAATCCCCACAGGGTGGAGAAATAGAGAATGGATTGTGACAGGAACACACCCCATTGGGGAATGGTTTCTCTCCACCCTTACCTGTCTCTCAGGTGAGTGCAATTATGTCCCTCTGGTGTAATTATCTTTTTTCTTTTTCTTTTTCTTTTTTTTTTTTTAAAGATAAGTTGGGGAACCAGCAGTTAGCATAATGGCTATGTCGCTGGACTCCCACGTAGTTGACCGTGGTTCGCGTCCTGGACCCGGTGGCTTGGAACTCACGCTGGGCGCGTGTGCGTGCGTGCCCAGGATCCCGAGAGGAGAATGGAGGACAAGGGATTGTGGCGTGACCATCCCCCCTGGGGGGTGATTTCTCGCTTTCTGTCTCTCTGTCTCTCTCTGTCTGTCTGGTGAGCGCACGCGCCCTATAGCAAAAACCTCTCCAAAAAAAAAAAAGATAAGTTGCAGAAACCACTGACACATTCACAAGTTTGCTTTTGTATATTGAAGGGAAGAAGAACATAGAGTAGAAAGGAAAGTAACCAAGCCCTTGAGACATTCTCCAATAACTCTTCAAGGATTTAGAAGAACTGTCTCATCTGATGAAATATAACTTGCCAAATTTCAATGTAATTGCTCATTTCAAAACTTTCCCCTTCATGAATTTTTTTTGGTTTCACTTTGAAAATCATATGTAACATATCTTTGTTCTCCAAAACCATGAGCTGCAGACAGGCAAAAGGAAAACATCGTATTGATGTTTTTCAAGTGCCTCTGTGCACATGTTTATTTTCACCAAGATGGCGACACATACTGTGTACGTGGGACTGCAATCTGTTGTTCTCATGTAACAAACGCCTGGAGTCACACATCTTTGAAGTTCCATCCAGGAGAGCCAGTCCTCCAAAGCTCCACTCCCTCAGCCAGGCTCCTGGGGCTTCCTAACAAACCCTGTTTTGATGACTCATGCTTTTGTCATCTCCAGCTCAGTTTCTTCTAAGACAAAGTCTGGTTCCTGCTCAGGCTTGAACCTGCTTTTCTCCTCTATTTGTTTTGTCTCTTCTTGTGCCTCCCCATTCTCCTGTAAATAGCCTAGTTTCCAACCTGAAGGCACGTCTATGGCTTCTGTTGGTCTATGAGATAATAATGGGGGATGACTAATTTTTAGTAATGAAATGTCTCTCCTTCCTTATATTGGGTTGTCAGAAAAGTCATGACACATTTTTGCATAGAAAAACATAGAAAGATATGTCATGACTTTCCTGACGACCCAGTATTAGTATTAGGACAATAAATAGGCCTCAGGTATCACTGTTAACTCAAAAGCCTGTCCTACAGATTCAGTTCTGCCTATCTTCAATGGGAAGATAAAAACAAACAAACAACAAAACAAAACACCTTTCAAACTAAAAGCAGATCCTAAACCTAGACAGTATTACCCAGAAATCCATTTCCATAGAGAAGCTGGTGGGATTTGGCTGGACTGTCATATTACTACCCACATAGAATAGATACATTAATTTGCTTACCAAATAGCCCAGGCTGCCTATTTCCATAAGCACATGAAACTAGAAAGATATTAAAGCACAAAGACGACTAAAAAACCTGGCAGAAATCAATATATTATAGTATCACCTACCAGGAAGTCAGCAACCATTATGTAACCTATTACAAAATAAAATATCAAAGGTGCATGCGGAATCAACATGACTTGTAATCACTACGGTTATTAAGATTTATAAGTCAGTGATATTATGTAAGAATTTCATTCAGCAGTTCTATTTGGTTCACTTGACTTTGAGCCTACACTGTACCTGACATTGAGTGACTGGTTCCAGAAATACAGATCTACTTTTCACGTCCGTGAGTGACAACGAACAGGTTTGAGAGATAGGTCTCATAACAATACGCAAGGGTGCTGTGAGGTGGTGGACTCAGAAGGCTTGGAGGAGGTGACAGGATTGTCATCTATGAGCTGTAACTCTGACCGAGTCCCTTTCTTGCTCTAACCTTCAGTTTTTATCTGTAAAATGAAATAGGTTATAGTTCTCTCACTTTATGGGACTTAAATAAGAAAACTTAAGTGAAGATACTTGGCACACTATGGGTACCAAATATAATTGAAAAGGAAAAAGGTGGGAGCCAGAAGGTGGTTCAGTGAAATGAACTCTGATTCTCTTTGAGGCTGACCCACATAGAAAGGTTCTGGATTTGATGTGATTCTATTTGGGGCTGACCCACATAGAAAGGTTCTGGATTTGAGTCCAGAGACCTTCCTGAGTACGCTGAGCAAGTGTGAAGCTGGGGATGGATCATGGTGTCGAGACCCTGTTGGGGAGCACTCTCTCTCTCTCTCTCTCTCTCTCATAGAAGAAAAAAATGAACTTAAAAAGATACACTTAAAAAGGGGGCCAGCAAGTGGTATGGTGGTTAAGGTGCTGGACTCCCACACCATATGCCTGATCGCAGTTTGAGTCTTGGACCTGGTGGCTTGAAAATCATGATGGACATGTGTTGTGTGCATGCCCCAAATATCAGAAGGAGAACGGAGGAGAAAGGATTGAGGAAGGGCCATCACCCAGGGGATGACTTCTCACTTTCCCTCTCACTGCCTCTCTCTGGCTCTCTACAGCCAGCACACATGCCTTATGGAAAAAAAAAAATACAAACCTATTTTAAAAAGAACAGAGGTTTATTTGGTTCTAGAGAAGAGTGGAAGGAAACAACTCAAATGCTATGATGGAGTCTATTCATTTTGCTATGAAAGGCTCAAGGAAGGAAAAGTCGTTTTGTGCTGAAGATAATCAACGAAGTATTATAGAAGAGAGGCCATTGAAACTGAACCTTGAAGGATACAAGTGATTTGGTAATAATAATCTTAACCAACATTTAAGGAGGTCTTGTCACATGCCAGGTGCTGTTTAGAGTCCCTAACAAATATTAGTTTATTGATCACAACGGCCCAAAGGGATAAGTCATGACATACCACTTTAAGAGGTAGACTATAAGACCCCTATCTTCTGGAACATGTCTGAACACAGCCATGATATGCAATAGTTTGATATTTCCATTCTTGGGTTAGATTGTGACACAGCCACTCCATAGAGTAGGTTGTAACATCATTCATTCTCTGTTTATAGCTGATGAAACTGTGACAAAAAAATAAATTGCCCAAATCACACTGCTAGTTTTGTGGAGCTGGGGTTTGAGTCCAGCAGTCTAACTCCACGGCCCATTCTTGGTCATAACACTAAAGTTAGAGAAGATACGCCCACTGAGTGGTTTTTCTAAGCCAGAGAAGGTTCTAACCTAAATACAGGAAAGCAGCCTCAGGATGTCAAAGCTGGTAGGAATCCTTGAAGCATCTTCCAAATGCAACACCAAGGTCCAGCAGCCTATGTGACTCAGCCAGGATGATGAACCAGAGACTTAAAATAATACATAGCTCTGGTGTCCTGCCTTGTAACCTATCTATGCCATCATGGATGAAATCAGACTAAAAAAGATCTGTGTGTTTAGCTAATGATGCTACAGCCTTGTTAAGGCACACAGTTTGGGGATCCAGGCATAGGTTTGAATCTTTTTTGTTTTTTTGAAGAGGTTTTTGCTATAGGGCACGTGCGCTCACCAGACACACAGAGAGAGACAGAGAGACAGAAAGAGAGAAATCACCCCCCAGGGGGGATGGCCCCGCCGCAATCCCTTCTCCTCCATTCTCCTCTCGGGATCTTGGGCACGCATGCACACGCACCCGGCTTGAGTTTAAGCCACCGGGTCCGGGACTCGAACCACGGTCGACTATATGGGAGTCCAGCAACATAGCCATTATGCTAACTGCTGGTCCCCATAGGTTTGAATCTTATCAGACTTATGCAGGGGAACTTTTATTAGAAATATCAGAAAGATGGGGCCAGCAGGTAGTGGTTGAAGCACTAGACTCCCATGTGGCCAATCGCAGTTTGAGTCCTAGACCCGACTGCTTGCTTTCTCACTTTCCCTCTCTCTCCTCCTCTCTGTCTCTCTGGTGACCACATATGACTTATAGCAAAAATAATAATAACATTAAATAAATTTAAAGAGTTAATTCTTTTTTTTTTAAAAAAAAAAGTACCAGAAAGATAAAAATATAGTATCTTTCAGCAGAATCTCCCAAGGTGGTGTTATAGCAAGACTCTAAGCCATACTTTGAAAATAGATAAGAAACATACAACCTCAAACATGGGAGTATATTCTAAGTAGTGTTGAAGGGAAGCAGGAGGCAGGAAAGGAAGGGATAGAGGTATGCAGTCAAAAAGTATATTCTCTGAATGGGTCAGGATAGGGCCTTTTAAAGCTTTATGCTTTAGAACTGAGAGATGACGGTGGCAATTCTTCATCTCTTTGCTTGATTTAGTTACCCTTTCTTTACATGTTTTTTAGCTAAAAGGTTTAATAAGTGTCAAGATATTAAAATAATACAGGTGATGAGAGGGCAAAAGGAGAAGAGTGAGAAGGAGAGGGAAGATTTTCCAAGTGGAGACTGGGGTGGGTGAAAGCAGGTGGTGAAAGGGATAATGGAAGACCCTACGACAAACTTGAACTTCAAGTATTGGCTCAAGACCAGGCCTGCTTATCTTCCCCTGAAATAACTGAACAAGATATGATGGTAAGTCTAAACATGAAACAACAACAACAACTAAGAATCGGGTAAAGTGGTTCAGAAAGTCTTACTACAGTGACTGAAGACTAATACTGGCTCCACAGAGCCTGACGCATCCTTATTTCACATGATGTTATACTGGAAAAAGATAGAGCTGACTTTGGCATGATATGGACAGAAACCCTTTAATGCTGACACACAAATTCTCAGGATTTGGGGACACCATTTTTTTTTTTCTTTTGAGAGAGATTTTTGCTATAGGGCATGTGTGCTCACTGGTGAGACAGGGAGAATCAGAGAGACAAAAAATGAGAAATTGCCCCACAGGAAGGATGGCCACATGACAATCCCTTCTCCTCCATTCTCCTCTCGGGATTTTGGGCATGCATGCATACACACCCAGCGTGAGTTTTGAGCTGTCGGGTCTGGGACTCGAACTGCATGGGAGGCAAGTGTTGTAACCGTTAACACCATTTACTGGTCCTGACACCATGTCTTAATTACTCCAAAATGAATTTATGAAAGCCAGATACCTTAGGAAAACCATCTCCTCACAAAGAGAACAATTCCAGTTCTATGGCTGCTGGAGCTAAAATTTGCTTTAACTATGAGATTGATCTTCAAAATGGAGCCTTCTAAGCCCTTTCTTCTTCCCAGCAACATTTTTCCTCTGCTCCTTCCCCTCTGCTCATGACGCTCTCTCTGACCACCTTCCTTAGGAGAAAAGCTAACAGTAATAAATCCATGAGTTAGTGTCTTTTGCTGAATTAGTGTAACAGGCAACTGCTTAGGTAGTGCAGGTTGGCGTGGGCGAAAACAATGAGCTTTGGTGAGTTCTAGTCCCTACTCTTTCTTTCTGCAACATGGCATGTTACTTAATCCTGCTAAACCTCAGCTTCCCCATCTGTAAAGGGAATAAAACAATAAGTCTCTCTGAAAGGTTATGAGGAGTCAAGAGAAAATGGTGGTACAATGTCTAGCACCCTAATAGATATTCTGGAAACCTATATCCCTTGTCTTCATCATTCTGTAGGCATAGTTTTAAAAAGGCCATAGAAAAGTTATGAAACCAAAGATAGTAACATTTCATTTCTCACCTCCTTGCCCCCAGTTCCTGGAAAAAGGAGAGAAAGAGAGGCAGGGAGACCCTCTCGTGTATTCTCAAGTCGACAAGCACCTGTGCTACCATAGGTTTGTTATAAAACAAACCTATCCTGGGACTAGTCATCTTGAGAGCAGGTTAAGTCAGCCCCTTAACTACTGTGTATCTCCACCATATATATTTCTCACAAATAAATACTTGGATGCTACCCCAAGCATGATTCATGGACTAGCAGCATTGGCATCACCTGGGAGCTTGTTCGAAATGTAGACTCTCAGTTCTCACTCTGGACCTAGTGCATTAGAATCTGCACTTTAGCAAGATCCCCAGGGGACCCATGTACTCAAAGGAGCTTGAAAAGCACTGATCTAGAACATGATATAGTCGCACTACTTTTTAAACCCAATGAAATCATTGTAGTCCACGAAACTTCCAAAACTCCATGAAGGCGAGGGCATCTGTATAGCTCTCCTTCCTTTCCTCTTCAATTTCCACCGAAAATGCCTTGAACCCTCCCTGATTTAGGTAGGCTTCAGAAACTCGAAACAAATAGCAGTGGCTAAAATAACAGTGTAAAAACGCAGTTAAAGAATAGAAGGTACAACTAATATCTCTGTCTTTTGGGGAGCAGTTTTGAAGCCAATATGAAAAGCTGGGAGAGGGCAACGTCTAAAGAACATAGAGAGAAAATGAGCAGAGGGAACAGCACCATGCTAGATGGAGCTGGTGATGACGCGCACACAATCGGAGAGCTTTCCTGAATGAGATTTTGAGTGAGGGCTGAATTAACAGTGAAATCACAACAATTTAATCCTCTGTCCCCTAATCACACAGTCCTATTCAAAGTCCGGGAAGAAGCTCTAGCAATTTCGTATTTGTAATTTTGTACAATTTTTCTTTCTTTTTAAAAAAGGTTTTATTTATTTATTTTTATATTTTTTATTTTAATTTCTTTTATACAGTCAATCACGTATGCCACTTAATTTGTAAAGTGAATATTCCAACATGAGTACATTTCTCACCAGTCCACTTGGGGTTACTACACACATTATCATCAACAAATAACAACCCATTTCTTTATCCCATAAATGTCTTGTCTCTATTTTTCTCCTTAATGTCTTTCCTTAGACTCTACTCTCCTCCTTCTCCCACCCTCTTCACACACTGTATCTGATGATTTTCTTAAAGTGAGCTCCCCCCAGTTTTGTAAACCTCAAGCCCCATAACACCTAGATCTGAACCTACTTTCCTGCAGGATATGACTGTGTAGGTAGCCACCTACCCCTCAAACGTACCATTTTGGCTTGTTCAGCTGCTTGGGTCCACCGCCGAGAAATTAATTTGCACTTGCAGGAACACAGGCCGAGCTGTTCTCTTTCCAGCAGCAGTGAATTGTCTCACATTTTCCTGGCTGCCGGGTCAGAAATGGTTATATTACTCAGTGCCCCCAAAACGTCTGTTGTCCTGCAGGGCCTTACACAATCCCACAGGAAACCACGCTCAACACTTAGCCAACACTTGTTGATCTGATTGAACGCAACAAAAAAGGAGACAAAAGCATATTTCTGAAAGGTTCCAACTTTGATAACTTCAGCTCCCGCTTTTCCCAGGCACCTCTTGGGTACATGTGATAACTCTGCCTTTGTTTATAGACCTCTATGCTGGAAAGGACAAGAAAATATCTCGGCAAAACCCGACTGCCGACGCTGACTTCTCTCACAGGAGTCAGGAAACCATTAGGTAACGCCAAAGTGCACAGAGAATAAGCAATGAAAACTTCCACTCAACACTTGGACAAAAGGAGGCCAGAGAACATATGTGAGAGAAGAACAGTTAGTATAGTTGAAAAGGCACATGTTTCCATAGTTTAAATTATTTAGAAATCCAGAAGTGGAAAAGAGACAGTTTCGGTAATGTACAATGTACCAAGATTGCAAAGAAAAAGTATGATTGTCACTTGACATTATTTTGACAGCATCACAACTTTTGATTTTGCTCATTCTACCATTTTCTCTGGGCACACTAGCTGTTTGTGCATAATAAATCTAGCGACATATTTTAGGCTCTGCTATGAGTAGCCAAGAAAATTGATCATTCTTTTGACGTGCATTGGCACACTGTACTAACTTACAAATTGTTGGCTATTTTAATCTATTTGTAAACTTTTATGACGTGATAGAGTCATGGTTCAGTAGAGGAAAGAGAAGCTACTGACTTTTAAAGAGGTATTATTTTGAGTGGATACAGGATTAGCATCATTTTATTCCTTCCTTCATTCAGTGAAGTCTTACTGAACACCTATCATGTACTGAGTATTCTGTTAGGGGCTAGAGACAGAACAGTAAACAGAGCAATGGTGGCCCATATCTTCAGGGGGCTTATGTCTGAGGAGGCAGAGAACTACCAGTAAGTTTCATTATAGTGCAATGTGTGAAAAATAAGTGATAGTTTCAATATTTCTTTTTGGAAATTGGAATTTTGGAGAGTCCTTAGGAAGAATTCGAAAGGGTAGATTATACTCTGATAGCAAATACAAGACACTGATGGATTCCAAATATTGCCCTTTATACTCTAGAGAGGATAAAGAAATTGAGGGTGAGGCAGAGTAAACGGTGACCCATCAATCTGGTCAAATAAGTTCATTTCGCACTGTGTTAATTAACTTCCTTTCTCACATGGTGGTTTGTATTTACTGCACTGCTTATACACAGCAATATGGTAAAAGATGGATGCTAGAACACCAAGTGAACAAAGGGAAGGGAAAAGAGGAGGTGATATAATTGTACAAATACCTGGGCACAATCTCTTGGGATTTTCATCCCTTCTTGGGCTTAAAGCACTCAAGGGCAGTGGGAGGAGTGGTTTCCTCTAAGCCAAATGTCACAGATTATTTATTTTCTCTATTCATTCACTTCCTCACCTACTCCTGAACCTTTCTTTCACTCTTGTATTTTCCTGGTCTTTAGTTAAATCCTAACTTTTAGCAACTTATATCAATTATGTGATGTAATTTACTCAAATTATAGTCTGCATCATCACCTTCATCCAGTAAGACCCTTAGAGATTTTCTCTACAGCTTGCTCATGTGAGCCTTTATCAGGCAACAGCTAAAGGATCACAGCATGGGGTAATTGGATTTCATCATGTCAACGACTCTATCCACTTGTGCTTACATTTTTAGAAGAAGAAAATGCAGGATCTATTTCACGCGTGTGTGTACCAGAGCGAGAGGGAGCGCGAGAGCACACTCTTGGCTTGTGGCCGACCTCTAGATTTCTCTTTAAAAAGTGTATTTGACTCCTGGCTTCATAAACCATCTATATAATTATGATTCTAAATTTCAGCCAGGACCTCTCCCCTAAATTCCAGACTCATATTCGATTGTCAATTTGTCAATATACTGGGAAGATGTACTAGCTATGTCAAACTTAACATGTCCAGAGCTGATCTGTAATTGACCCTCAAGTTAATTCTTCCTCCTCAGCTAGTAGCAACTCTACCCTTTCGGTTGCTCAGCCCAAAGAAAGTGGAATCATCCTTGATTTTTACCCTTCCCTCATGTCATTTCCAGTATTTCACAAAAAATGGTTAGCTTTCTCTTCAAGATGTACTCCAAATCTGACCACCTGTCAATACCTCTGCTGCCGCCTACCACCTCAACTGCCACCCTCTCTCACCTGGCGCATTGCACTAGCCTCCTGGCTGTTTTTTCTTCCACTTCTTGCCTCCTGCAGTTTATTCTCTACTGAGTATGTGCAGAGTGAGTCTTTGAAATGTAAATCAGATTGTACCACTTCTCCAGCCTGAACTCTCCAATGGTCCCCCCTCTTCTGGTCCCCTCCCATCATCTCCTGATTATTTTACTTCATCTCACCACTCCTAAAACTGGCCTGATTGTTAGTCTGCCAATATTTTGAGCACCATATGCCCCACGGCCTCTACGGTGCTTGCATCCTCTGCCTGGTGAACAGATGCAGATATCTCTCTCTGGCTTATTCCTCATCTCCAGGCTCTGCTTCAGATGGGCCCTAAGACCATCCTGTTTAATGCTATTCCTCCAACTCCTTCCTAGCACTCTCATCTCCCTTATTCTGCTCTGCCTTTTTACCACAGCACTTATAACAGAATGCATAATTTGCCTATTTATTATTTTTATTGTCTCTCTTGCCTTACTAAAGCATAAGCCAATAAGGGCTTCAGCATGTTCTCTCTGCAGCCTGAGCATTTCCCGTAGGCATCTCTTCAGTGGGGGTGTCACCCCAACTCCTCCTGCACTTACATTCCTTCTGATGCTAAAATAATATGCTTGGAGGTCAGGATCTGATGTGAACTCTTTACACTTACTGGAATTGAAGATTAATGTGTCACCGCTCCTAAGGATGCCTGCATATCAAACTTGAGACTCAGCAGTGAAACGAATTGCCTTCTTCCTAATAAAAGAAGATGGGCGAGGTGGGAGGTAGACGTGAATGCCAAAAGGTTTGTTGTTTTGTTATGACCTTTCCCGACATCTACAAAATCTTTACATAGAGGGTTGACATTTATTAAACTCACTACCATTTTTAGTGAAGGTAAGGCTTTGGAGTCTAGATGGAGTTGGGAACCATGAGCACGTTTTTGTAAATAAAACGTATTGGAACTTAGCCACATTCGTCTCTGTACCATCTATGGCTTCTTTCATTTTACAATGGCAAAGCTGAGTAGTTGTGACAGAGACCATATGCCCACAAAGTCTCTGATAGTTACTATCTGGCCTTCACAGAAAAAGTTTACCAATTAATGCTTGAAAAGAATCCTGCCAGCTGTGGAAGTGACCTAGTAGCCGGGAACTGAGTTCAACAGCTCAATTCAATAGACATTCAGTGAATTGTACTGTGTGCAAGGTGCCAGAGTTGGCAGCAAAGACTGTAGATAAAGAGGAGTATCATGTTGGAACTCTTCCAGTCCTTGTCTCCACTTTGGTTCACATGATTTTTTTCCAAATATTTTATTATGAAAAAATTCAAAATACAGAAAAGCCAAAAGAAGTTGAAGCACCCAGACTCCACCATCTAGATTCCACAATGAACATTTTACTATATTTGCTTTATTGTACATCTAGCCATTTTCCATTTCTCTATTCATCCATCGATCCACCTTAGTTATTAATGTTACTTGGGGGGACATTCAAAGTAAGTTGCCTGTATCAGTACACTTCCTCCATAAACTCCTCAGCATATGTAACATTCACTAGAGGTTAGTTCAAATTAGTTTTTCAGTTTTAACCCTGACACTGTGATCTTGAAAGCAGCCTTCATTGGCCAGAAGACACACCTTTATAAAAGCTGAAAACTGAGAAAGGTTATCAGGGTAATTGAGGTAAGTATCAGGGGAATCATTCACCTAAATTTCTCCACTTCCTGATTCAGAGATGAATCAGCCATTCAAAACCAAGACTCTGGCTTGTGATGGCTTCTAGGAAAGTCCTGCAGCTCAAAAAAAGAGGGTCATAAGTTGTTTTATTATATTTTTTTTTTTTCTGCGATGCTGCCAAAAACCCATGGGAAAGACAGAGGAACACAGTTATGAGTTGCATGAAATGGTTGATCACATGTAGCTCCTGGTGGATGGAACAGACTGTGGCTGTGCAGTGTTCTCACGGGGGTTGAAATGGGAGTCACATGAACACATCTTTTCTGGATATATTTGGATATCTTCAGCCACCAGTACATTAATGGCCTTCATAAACTAGTATTTACAAAATAATCAGTTCTTGACTTTGAGCCAACTGATTTTCTCTGTTCAACAAGTCTGAGTCCCTAATATGGAATATTCCAGAGATACAAATAGCAGCTACACTGCCCTGGGAGAGAAATGACCACAAATTATAAGGAAGAATTTTGAGGTTGAGGCTTGAAGATGCAGAAAAACATTACAAATGATGAAGTGTTTACGCCATCTGTGTACTTCTATAAAATACGTCTTTGAAAAGAAATTCAGTAAGTTATGCAGAAGAAGAAAATACAATTTTTGAATAAGAAAAAGTCAAATAAAATATATTGCCAGTGTTGGTGTCTTTAAAGATTATAATGATGATATTTGGAATCATTCAGAAGACTTTGTTCATTGTCATTTCAGTATGGCGTTTTCTTTGTTTCCCAGGACTCCAGAGCTGATCGAGCATCTCTGCACACTCACTTATCCAGCTGCCTGCTGGATGTCAAATGACAGTGTGAAAGGTGCTCAGAACACAATGTACAGGGCCACATTTCTCATCTCAAAAGTGGACTGGGGTGCTGGCAGGTGATGTGGTGGTTAAGGGTGCTAGACTCCCACACGGCCAACCATGGTTCAAGTCCCGGACCTGGTGGCTTGCTTGCTCTCCATCCCTCTTATTCTCTCTCTCTCTTTCTCTCTCTCTTACTCTGTCCCTCTCTGGTCAAATTAAAATAAATACATAAGTAAAATAAAGTTAAATAAAATAATTCTTTAAAAAAAAAGTGGACTGGGCCAGCTGAATGGTCTGGTGGTTAAGGGAGCCAGATTCCACATGGCCGACTATGTGGTTCAAGTCCCAGACCTGGTAGCTTGAGTAACATGCTGGGAGTGTGTGTGCCCAAAAATCCTGAAAGGAGGAGAATGGATTACAGTATGACGGTGTCCTGTGGAAGAAGTGCTTCCTTCTCTCCCTCTCTCTCTGCCTGCCACTCTCTGGCTAGCACATGTGCCCTCTAGCCACAAAAAGTAGACTCTGAAACATTACATATGCTCTGTTTCATTTATAGAAATTCTCCCTCTCCCATCTTTGTTTTCCCTCATTTAAATTGTTCTAGATTTCCAGATCTGCTCTTTTTTTTTTTTTCCCCAGGAGCCTGAAAATAGAATTCCCTACTTTATCTTGACTGTGCATACATCTGAATTTACCTTCTACCCTTGACCAAGATAAGGAGGTCTGATTTGATCATTATATTGTACACGTTTTGAAAAAAAACCACTGTATACCCAAAAGATGTACAACTATATATGTAAATTAGAAATTATAATAAAAATAATTCTACAAGAGGCAGGAAATTCTCATCCCTATTACAGCTGTGGAAGTAAGAATGGATTCTGAATCCCAGAAGAAGCTCGAAAGATGTTAAACTGAAACAGCCCCAGGAATAGAGCACATCAGTATAGAAATGGATAAAAATGTACAGCTGAGCCACTCTTCTTTTATGATGATGTTGTCCTTGAGAACACTATTTGTGACAGAGGAGCCTTTCAGGACATCTCTAGAGGTGATTGCTAGGGCTGGTGGGATACAACAGTTAATCTCTAAAGTCTGGTCTAATCATTGTTTACCTTGCTTGATGACTGTTGGTAATAATTTCAGTGGACATATTTACTTTCTGAAAGGATAAATACTTGTAAGAGTTTGTTATTAACTTACAGGGCTATGAAATTTTACCTCTCTTGTCACAGAAAGGCATATTTTCCAGTTATCTATTATCATGAAACTAACTACCTGGAAACTAAGTGTCTTACAACAACCATTTTTATTTGCACATAATGCGGTGAGTCAAGAAGCTAGGGGGACCAGCAGTTGGCATAATGGCTAAGTTGCTGAACTCCCATGTAGCTAACTGCAGTTTGAGTCCCGGACCTGGTGGCGTAAACTCACACCGGGTACGTGTACATGCGTGCCCAAGATCCTGAGAGGAGAATGGAAGAGAAGGGATTGCGGTGTGGCCATCCCCCCTGGGGGGTGATTTCTCGCTTTCTGTCTCTCTCTCTCTCTGTCTTTCTGGCAAGCGCACGTGCCCTATAGCAAAAAACCTCTGCAAAAAAAAAAAAAAAAAAAGGTAGGAAGGACAAGGCTATGTGTTCATGTCTTATTTATGTGGCATCAGTGGGGCAGCTGGGGCTGAAGGATCCACTTCCAAGATGGCTTTATAGTGTCTCCTACTTCAAAGTCCTTGGTCTCTTTATTCACATGGCATGTCCTCCGCCAGGGCCTCTCCTTTCTGTGGCAAGAGCTCCTCCAGAATGGTGACTTCAGGGGCATCACTCTGTTTACAGGGCAGTTTGCTTCCATGAGACAGGAAGTAAAAGCTGCCAGGTTATTTCAGAGCCAGGCTCAGAACTTACACCATATTGTTTGGTCAAAGCAGCACAAGCTCTGCCTCAATTCTAGAGGAAGTGAAGTGAACTACACTTTTGATGGCAGGGTATCAAGGTCACATTGAACGTAAGATGAGAGATACTGTTTCGGTCATCTTAGGAAAATGGTATCTTCTGAAGAATGATAAACAATGGCTGGGAAATGATGTGTAGGTATGATGGTTACCGCATCATATACTAAAGATTTCCCAAAGGGCGTGGCATGGAAACTGAGAGCTAAAAGATGAATGGAGATAAGCCAAATTAAGAAGAGAGAAAGAAACTTCTAGACAAAGGTACAGCAAGCCAACAAGAAGGAGTATGCTCATCCCAATGCGTAAAAGAAGTTCAGCATAGTGGGAAGGAATGGAGGGGGGTGTATCTCTGTGTGTGTGTTGAGGATGAGACCAGGTCAAGAATACCACAGAATTTTCTCCTAAGGGCAATGGGAAGCTATTAAGGGTTTTAGGTGATTGTTATTCCATTTGCCTGAGACTGAGAGAATGAATTGGTCACTGGCAAGCCTGAGTGAAGGAAGAGTGGGCAGCTACCATAGAAGTGGTAGTTGTACTGGGAAGAGATATGAACTATTAACGTATTTAAGAGATAGAAGGAGTCAGAATCCACAGGCTTTCCAGATGGAAGGGTGAGAGTGGAGAGCTCACATTTCAGGCTCAGGCAATCTGCTGAAAGTTGAACTTTCTGCTAGGGAATGAAGAAGCACTTCACGAGGACAGTCAAGTGCCTGACAGCAGGCACATGCTTCTATTTTACTTGGAGACAGTTGCAGAAGTAATTATAGTGGTGATAAACAATATCACCTTATTCTTCCATGGTGTTTTTGATGTTCACGTGTGTTATTGCATTTATCTTTGAATCACTTAAGTAAAGTGGGGAGGGTGAGTTTGATTCCCACTGATAAACAAGGAGCCCAGGGAAAAGTCTTGTTTTCTCTGCTCACCTGCTTTTTCAGAGAAGGGGTTTGCAAATGAGGCCTGCAGCCAAAATGGGTCAGTAGCCTGCTGCCTGCTTCCATGCAGTCTGAGAGTGAAGAAGGGTTTTGTATTTTAAGTGGATGAAATATACAAAATCAAAAGAAGGATATTCTGTGACAAATGAGAATGGTATTAATTCAAACTTACATGAATTATAAGAATTCAAGCATCAGCATCCATGATTAAAGTTTTGACATACAGCCACACCCACCCATTTACCTGTTGTCTATGCTTGCCTTCTTGCTACAAAGGCAAACCGAGTAGCCTCCACAACACATGTGACCGGCAAAGTTGAAAATACTATCAAGGCTAGCAAGTGGCATGGTGGTTCAAGTGTTGGATGCCCCACATGGCTGACCACAGTTCGAGTCCTGGACCTGGTGGCTTGCTTTTGCACTTTCTCTCCCTCTCTCTGATCAAATTAAAAATAACAAATAAATACGTAATTCTTTAAAAAGAAAAAAAGAAAGAAAATATTCACTATCTCATGTGTGTTAGAGGTCCCACTTTCTTTCCTTTCTCCAAACCAGGCAGTGAGCCTGTTGGGGTGAAGAACAGTAACCAGGGCCATGTAGGTTAATAACTCAGGAGTGAGGGAGCTCCCCCCTCCACGCTTGTGCCAATTCGTCATCCTCCTGCAGAAGGTTCCCCCATCGCCTGCCAGCTGTGCTCCAGCACCACCCAGGCTCTTAACCAAAGGTGTCCCCGCTGGCGCGCGCCTTCTCTTTAGGCAGAAACAGAGATGTCTGGGCCCACCTCCTCCCTCCCCGTTCTCACTGGGAAACAGCAGGCAACTTCCGTACGTAGCCAGCGACTGCGAAGTGCTAGGAACGCGGCAGGCTCCTCCGAAGCTCCTTAGGACCTGCGGAGGCCGGTACTAGGAGCATCACGGCCCTCCTGTTACCGAGGAGGAACCGGTGGCTCAGAGCCTGCGCCACCTGCCCGAGGCCGCGCTAAGCGGCGTTCTCACGTAGAGGCAGCAAGCGGACCCGCGCCGCCAAGGTCAGGCACTCAAGTGACAAGCAGACTCCAGTTAAAGGCAGGTCGAGTTGGAGCCTTTGCCGCATCAGAGCATGTACCCAAGCCCACCTTTCTCAGGGTTCGGCGCGCCCCCTAACTTCCGGGGTGCGCATCTCTTTCAGGCGGTGCGGGAGGGGCGCAGAGGCAAAAGGGCAGCAGAGCTGGAGGGAGGAGCGAGAGGCTCGGCGCTGAAGGTAAATAAGGGAGTGTCGCCCCCGCCCGGGGCCCCGGGAGACCCGGAGACTCCCGCCGCCGCCCCGGGCTTCCCGCCTCCCTGAAGCCCGCCGC